AGTTGTTGCAATACTGCTACCTGCGTGTTATAAAACTAGCTTGTTTCATATTTGTGGCTATTGCTAGATGTCAAAGCTAAGCTTTAGTAATTAATCAGAATCACAATAACTTAAGTGGCACAATGGTCAGCACTGTTGCCTCACAGCAAGAAGGTCCTGAGTTCAGTTCCACCATCAGGTTGCGGTCTTTCTGTGTGGAGTTTGCATGTTCTCGTCATGTTTGCGTGGGTTCTCCCACAGACATGCAGTTAGTGGGCTTGGGTTTTATTGGTAACTCTAATTTGCCCATGTGAGTATGAATGGTTGTCTCTGTGTGTTGGCCCTGTGACAGACTGGCAACCTGTCCAGGGTGCACCCCGCCTCTCGCTCTAAGACAGCTGGGATAGGCTATGGCAGATGTCACTCTGGCTCCACAGTGCCAGGCAGCGACTAGTGGAGCAACGGATCAAAAGTCTCACGGTTTGGATCGGATCACGGTTTTAAGTCACGGATCGGATCAATTTTCGGATCAGCAAAAACAGAAAAAAGGACAAAAGTTTAACATTTACTTATTTAAGTATCTTTTGCCTGTTAAAAACATTAAACTCAAGATTCACTCCACACAGTTATATAAAAACAAATTAAGGTGCAGTATAGGGCAGAACAGGGCTTTGAGTCTACCACTCCGCTGTGATATAATGAGCTGTCATTTGTAGTTGGGCAACAGAAGATGTCTGGATCAGTTCAGCCGTAAATTTAAACTTCCTGCTCATACATGCTTGGAACGATCTTGAAGTGGACGGGCAACGAGATATCACAGCGTGGCTCAATCACGTTCATCATAGTTTAAACCTTGTTTTGCACAACAGAATACGGCCTCCCGTCTGCAGATAAACACCCCAACAGCTTCTGTAACAGCTTTAGTCCGGTCGGGCTGGGCAGCAAAGGGCTGCTCAAAGGCCTCTGCTCCTCCACTTGGACCGCTAGCGCTGCCCATAAGTATCGCTTGACAGACCCACCACGCACCATACACATACTTTTTTTTCTTCTTTTTTGAATCTTCGGATCACGTGCTGCTGAACCGTGGAGTGGGATCGGTTCGGATTACCGATCAACCATGTCCATGTTGATCACCGTTGCAGTAACAGCCCAGAAGGGAATGTCAGGACTTCAGGTATCTCAGACATCGGTCCTGCTGATGGGTTGATCATTTTCTGCCGCCCTGTCCAAGAGTAACTGCCGATATCTTGGAATGTCCTACGTGGCTGAAGATTCCGCAAAAGTTCTGGCAATGGGATGTATCGATGTGTCATCTGGGTGAGTTGGACTACCTATGCAACCTCTATAGGGTACAGGTGTCGCCTCATGCCACCAATACTGACACTGACCTTGCGAAATACAAAACTAATGAGGAAAAAGTAATGAGGAAGGAAAAAAATGTCACCAAAACACTATGGCCTGAAGTAGACTGAACCCAGGACCACCACAGCCTAACCATAACCTTTTATTTTCCACAAAGAGTGGAAGAGAAGTGACAAAGATGTCATGTGTGATATTTATGAAAACAGCAAAAAGCTGTAAATGGTATTGTCGGTGTGGAGACATTTAAAAGTACCAACAGTCAACTTGTCAACCCCTCACTCCGTGATAACTAGGGATGGGTATCGTTTAGGTTTTATCCAATACCGGTGCCAAACCGGTACTTTTGAAACGGTGCCGGTGCTTAAAGAATGGAGAACACAAAATTGGTCCAAAAACCATGTTCAGCTGTTTTTTTGTTTCATCAGATTTGAGGTGTTACCTCCTTTGACAGCATCACAGTATCAGCTTAAAGCACTTGTTGCAGCTGCTGAGTTTGCATCTTTTGCTGTGAAGTACAGCCAGACTTTGACCGCTTCGTCTTGGGCATTTTTAATCTGTAGCTCTGCTCTAAAAGAACGTACGTACCTGGACCCGCCTACTATCCTCGGAAACATAAAATGATTGGCTAGAATCTAAAGTGTATCACAGCTCAGGAAATAAAGCACCGAAATGTGCGCTGCTTTTCGGTCTGGTTACTACCGTTTATGTCAGAACCGGTGCCATCATGGCACCGGATACCGGTACCCATCCCTAGTGATAACCCACTGAAGCACCAGCAGCATAACAAATGGTAAATGGACTGATTCTTCTATAGCGCTTCTCTACTCTGCTGAAGTACTCAAAGCCTGTATACAACATGCCACATTCACATTCTCACAAGCACTTTCTCTGTACTTATTATCAGTCCTTTATTTATCCAGGTAAAAAATCTCATTGAGATTAAAAAGCTAATTTTCAAGAGAGACCTGGCATCATGGCAAAAAAGGCAACTTATTGCTTTCTAACTACACTCACACACGTTCATGCTGCGATGGATGCACTGGAGAGCAACTTGGGGTTAGTATCTTACTCAAGGATACTTGACATGTAGACTGGAGGAGCCAGGGATCGACCCACAGCTCTACCTCCTGAGCTACAGCCACCCCAAGAAACAAGAAACCAGTATCGCTGATCGGCACGTCACAGTGATGTGAGGATATTCACTTACGCTTGAACCGTTTCTCTCTCCAGCAGAGCTTCATTAAGGAGTTTGTTGAGCTCCTGTTCATTCTCCTGAGCATCAATCACCCGCTCAGCCAGGTCCCGCAGCCTCAGCCTCCTTCGGGGATTAGGAAACGATGGGTTCACCACCTGCAATCCAAAGTTTACAGTTTAGGATTTCTTGCCTCCTCATAAAATGGGAGTCTGCTCTTTATCCAGTCACAAATATAGACTAACTAAATAGATAAGCAAAGCGCATGCTGGAAAAATTAGGTTAATTCTGGAGGATCTAGAGCAGGGGGAGGCAACTCCAGGCCTCGACGGACAGAGTCCTGCAGGTTTTAGACATGTCCTTGATCCAACACAGCTGATTCAAATGGCTGAATAACTCCTCAACATGTCCTGAAGTTGTGTTGACACAGGGTGATGTCTAAAACCTGCAGGACACCGGCCCGCGAGGCCTGGAGTTGCCTACCCCTGATCTAGAGTAATAAGTTTCATCAGATGTTTCCTGGAGCTGCTGATGAATCCTGCCAGAAGTTGAACTTCTGATCTCGTCACTGAACATTATCCCAGAATCCTTGTAGTGGAAGAGCTCCTCCTGACACATGCTGCCACATGTTTGTGGTGACCTTTGTTATTCAGTGCTTACACTGAACACATGAACACAAATTTAAATGTGATTTTTGGAACAGACCGTTAGAATCCAGCTTGGTGCATCTAATGCTGCTTATTCTGTTGTAGTGATGCAGATGTTGTTCACACGGATTCAGTTTTGCTGTGAAGAACAACCTGCACTGTAGCTTTATGAGAAACCAGTATGTTAACCATGATATTCCTTATATTCCTTATATTTCACCTCAGAGGCCCAGGACGTGAGTGGGTGTTAAGGTGTCTGATATAGATGGCAGACAGTTGGTGTCATAAGCCCCGCCCTCTGTTCAAAGATGGTCGCTCACAGTGGACACAGATGCTTCTTTCACTCCTCTTTCAAACCGTCTGTCTTCTCTGTCCAAAATGTCAACATTGACATCGTCAAAAGGGTGACCTTTGACCTTTAGATGCAGATGGAGTCTTGTCCTGTGGAGGTGACTTTTCTATGTTGTCCCATGTGATTATGAAGTGGCTGTTTGGTCTATAGGTACTGTTGTCACTGAGGAGTGCCAGCTGGTAATATGGTGATGTTGTGGTCTTTGCTCAGGTAAGAGACGACCTTCAGGTCATCTTCCGATTAGTGGGTGACCTGCTCTACCTCCTGAGCTACAGCCACGCTGATGCAGAATGGGAATGAGAATGCCAGAGTGGCACAATCAGAACAGACAAGGACAGGAGAGATAGCAGCACTGTGTGATGAAGGACTTTCAGGCACCTGTTAATGTGTGAAAACCAGGGCTGGGTATCGTCACCGATTTCTAGAATCGATTCGATTTGAATATTATAAATATAAATATTATAATTTATTTATAATATTTATTATTCATTATAATATTATAATTCTGATCACTTATCAGTACATATCTATATTTTTAGATCTATAAAAAGAAAGCTGACACTGTGAGACTTCATCAGAGGTGTGAGCGTCACAGGAGACAAGTTTGTGTCAAAGTAACTGAAACACAGAAAAACATGAAGCTGAGAGAGAGAGAGAGAGAGAGAGAGAGCGAGAGAGAGAGAGAGAG